TTCATTTCATGATCTCATGCTACATTGCAGAGACCAGCAATACCAGTATGAGCTGGAGATCTGGATGATAGACAGTAGACCATTGGACCATTGGATATCCATCGCCGGAGGCGATGATAGCGATGCTACAGGAGAAGCCATAGCAGCTTGTGCTGGGATTGCACCATTCAACAGCTTGCAAGGCTGAAGAATTGACCGCCACTATTCAGCCTGGTCTACACCACACAGCTATGAAGTGGCTTTTTCTGGCCAGTGAATCCCTACTTTTTGGTCTTTTTTTCTTTTTCTTTTTTTCCCGCACACACACACCACACCACACCACATACTCCGGCATGCACTGGCTGTTGGTAACCACCCAGGAGAATGAAAGAAAAGTCAGGAAGAGTCTGAGAAAGAGAAGAAAGACGTGTGTGACCATAATCGTCGGGAATCGAACCCGCAACCTATCGATTGGAAATCGCTGCACATACCACCGCACCATATGGGACACACATCTACAGCACTTCTTCAAATTATTATTTTTTAGGCTTCTTTCTTGTTCGTTCCGCAGCATGTTATATTGTAGGGAGAGAGAATGTACATCTGAGATTTATGTGAATCTTGCATGCGTGTTACATGAGTGCCTGCCGTAATTCTAACTTCCACTGTGCTCTACTTGCTACTTACACATGCACAGGGTGAGATTTGCTTGGATATCCTGAAGGACAACTGGAGTCCGGCCATGACTGTCAGCAAAGTCTTGCTGTCCATCACGTCTCTGCTTGCTGACTGCAATCCGAGTGACCCGCTCGTTGCCAACATTGCTCGCCAGTTCACTGGTGATCGAAGCGGGCACGATCGCATGGCACGCGACTGGACTCGTCGTTTTGCAAGATAGCCGTATCCGCTGACCAAGAAGTCAGTACATGTAGTACCAGTAATACTGTGTCCTTGAACTTGAGTGTGCTCCATATTCCACTTTTACCTTCTTCTTTTTTATATCCGTTTAAACTGTTTTGTGAACCCAGCATGGTCCCGGGCTTTATTGATCCATGTGCAAGTTGTGTACCAGATTGGGTTGTGCTCTATTATCTAATACATTCAAATCAAACTGCTGATCCCCGTCGTCGCTACAGTGATACGCTGCTCTCATCCATCCATCCGCCTCGTACCTCCACTGCTTGATAGTTCTGTTTAAAACTCCGACTTATGCTGCTGCTCTTCGGTCTCCTCCTGTGCTGCATGCATGATTGTGACAGCAGGGCCGAAGTTACTTCCTCTTATGCTTTTAAAAACATCACAGTCATGTTTCTCCCAGCCCAGGTGTACTTTTGCAGTACATACGGTAATAATACTGTCGCGGTCTGATTCTCGCTATTGTAATAATACTAACGATATGTGTGCCATGGTTTCAATTCTGCATTTTTTTTTATCGCCTCATCTGTTCTGATTTACGTCCCTTGATACTATGCCTGGCTCTGCCAGCAGTGGTCAGCAAACCCCCGCTGTGAATCATCATGCTGTTCCGAGGAGACGTTAGTACGGTTACTAAATATTCTGACAGTTCTAGCTGTGGGAGTGCACGTGGCAGATCTGTGTAGTCTGTACACTGTTGTGACTGTGTGAGAGTAATCTGGGTACTGATCAGGCGAAGCTAGATTTTTACTTCACCGCACATGACGGTAGCGTGATGGTGCGAAGAAGTCATCTTTTCCGCGACAATGGGAGTGCGTCTTGTTTTCAGTGCACAAACGGCGAAGTATAAATTGAGGTTTACTCAGTGCCCTCACGGAGCAAAATCCATTTTAGGTCATGCAGGGGCAAGTGAAGACCTCAGCCATTGTGCAAAGGTGCATTAGAGGAGCAAGGCTGTTTGACGATGACAGCATTTCACAAGGTGGAGGGGAGGACACACTGTATGGACAACAGTCAACAGTGTTCCTGGCTGCAACCAGAAACCGGTTGGTAGAGGGGCTGAACCGGGCCGGGGCACGGCACCATACGGTTCATAATTATGGTCGCAATACCGGGACTCTACCAACCGGGTTATGGTTGCAGTCAGGAACACTGTTTTCCAGAAAGTGTGTCCTCCGCCTTGGGGGATGCTGTCATTACTAATACTACAATAATATCATTATTATTGTAGCTTGCATTTACCGGCCGGGAACAAGGCTGTACAGACTCTGTCAGTAGATCTCTACGCACAGCACATCCTGGTAGGACTTAGGGAGTACTACACAGGTAAGACCCGGTTCTTTTTAGTCTTGATCTACCCGGCCTGGTGCATACCAAAGCCAAATGAGTTTCCGGGGAAGAGGGTCTAGACTGACGCTAGCGATACAAGTCATTTAGTCGCCGGACAGGGTAAGACGAACGCACAATGCCACACACCTCTTTCTTCACACGTGTGGGGCCAACACCAGCCCACGCCAGCTTCTCCCTGTACGAGAAACACGAGATTCTAGTCGTCGGTTTGGCCGTTCAGCGAGGCATAATGGTCTTGCACACCTGACTGCAAAATCCCCACGACGCAGCTCACCAGATCAAGGTGTGGGTTCTCTTCACTCGCAGTAGACTGAGTCGAGTCGAACGAGTTTCAACTCCCGGTGCGCGGTGCCGGAACGCGGGCTCACGCCCCTGGTTAGACTAGGCCTAGTCTACCCAGGCCAGGGGCCCTGCCCAAATCACCTGGTCACCACGCCAGCAGGCGACAACTTTCACACCAAGGTTCAACTCGATTGACAGGACTGCACCCAAAAAAGGTCAACCATGTTCGATTGGGAATAAAGGAGGAACGCTGCATCGCAGCCTTTTTGGACCAAAACCAGTCGACTCAGCGTCCAAAAGACTACAACATATGGGGCAATCGCGGTTATCCGTGCTTTTGTAAGAACGAAATGGCGCTTTTAGTGACATTTTGCATACAAATCCCCATCTAGTAGGGCGCAGTCACCCAGTTTCGGTGGAAGTGCGCGAGTTCGATTGGGATTCAAGTAGGAAGGGAGCGTCTCAGCTTTCTCGGACCAAGACCATTCGACTCAGCACCCCGAAGACTACAACTGGTGAAGTTTTAATTTTTGCCTTAACTTCCCCTTTAATCATGTTAATGGTCTTGTCTGGTCCTGCTTCTTCGTCGGATGCACCGGTACGTGACCGGTGGTATCTCGGCCTGCGACGATTGCATGTGCGGCCTCAATATCCTTCTTTACAAGTATTAGCTAGTTGGAATGCTGTGGACATGTTGTTTGCGCAATCAAGACGTGATGTAGCATCAGGTAGTTCAATGGCAGCATCACATCAGTCAATGTTGCGCAAACCACATGTACACAGCATTCCAACTAATATTATTACTTGTCTCACTTCGTTTTCGCGTTACTTCCCCTCTTTTGGCTTATCTTCCATAACGTTAGGTGAGCGTCAAGTAGTTGTGTGGTCATTGTTTCGTTCTCGAAGCGAGCCGTGGTTCTTCGTCATCGTCTTGTCACGGCTAACTAACTTTTTTTTAGTTACTTTCTTAGTTCGCTGTGATGTTTAGCTTGTTGTTGTCTTGAGTACACTCAGCTTCCCCTTTCTTTCGTTATTTCATAACTAAACTTAGAACCTTCTGAGTTGGAAGGCTGTTGGTTTCCCCTCATATTGCAGACGTGATGCAGCTAAGCATCAGGTCGTTGAGTTGCAGCATCACATCATTCAGTGTTGTGCTGCACGTTCTGGCTCACCAGTATCCTGCTTATTTGTTAGTGTTGGACAAACAGCGGATAACAGGCTTCAACTTTTGATCCTCTTGATCCTCTCTTTTTAGTTTTTAGTTTCAAGCTCTCCATTCGAGTCTGATCTATATTCTATTTTTATATCACCGTCAAAATATAGCGGCTCGTTCTTTTCAAGCCACTATTACCACGGTATGTCAATATGTGGCCAAGTAATTATTTTAATTTTATAGCTGTTGACAGGTCTGTCAGTCGAGTCCTGCTAGCTGTGTACACACGTGTAACACTGCTATGTACTTCGAAGTCACATGATGACCATCTCAGACAGATCATCTACACTGTAGGTCTACGTGTGTCGGCGCTGGATCCTATCAAGGACTAATGTAAAAGCGTCATGTGTTTGTACTAGTTGTAGGTAGGTAAGGTACATTTTTATTTGAATTCGCAGAACCACACGTGCACGGGCGGTACATGGAAACGAATGGAAACCGTGAATAAAGATATTGTAGGAAATAGCCTAACATGATAGCATGCAGCAGGGTGTAGTAGAAAGCAAAGAACGCTTGTACTCGTCTCTAGTCTAATCCTATCAACACTACCTACATGGCTACTATGCTACATATTGTGGAACTTGCTTGAGGCTCAATCAGGACACCTCCGATCCGACTTTGCTAAAACTAACAAGTAACAGTCATCATGATAGTACATGTACTACCGTACATGTACTAGTACTCCACTGGTCTACGTGAGTCTCCACGTCCCCAAGTACAAGTAAGTAACGTTAGGCCTAAGGAGTAGGAGTAAAACACTAAAAAAAGGTCCTTGGACACTGGGCTGCACTAGTCTACACTGGCCTGCTTTGGTATTCAGTCATGTGGACGCAGGTAGCCTATGTTGTAGTATGTAATTAGTAACTAATAGTTATGTACTCTTAAGATCTTGGTATGATGCATGGTAGACTTCTTCATACGGACGAAAGCTAGCGATATCACGACTGTCTTGCTGTCACGTACAAGAGCAGAACGTCATCAAGATTCAAGATCAAAATCCAGAACGGCATCGGGACGCATGCGCATAATTTATCTAGATCACGTGTTTTAATAGCTCTTCTGAATCTGAGCGGCGTGACGTGGGCGCTCGAGCGCCGCGGTTCCGCACTGCACTTGTACTGCATTATATACTGCTCATCCATTAAACTTTTTGTTGTTGAGGTCCTCTTTTTTTGTACACCGGTCATGCATATCATGACCAGTCGAGTCACCAGTAAATGCATGCACATTATATCGCGCTCTGATCAGGCAAATGCAGCCACGGCGCAGCACAGAGTCAGACCGGTCATATCAAGGATGAAAACCGTCGACCCTTTTCATCACCCAGACGTGGCTTGGGTGACGAGTCAGAAGTGAGTTGTGGCTGCACCCTTGCTTTGCTCATTCCAGGAGAAGCAACGTTGGTACGAGGGTAAGTATTGGTGCATTGATGGTTGGGATAGCCTTTTGAATGTTGGTCTCACTCACCGGCTTGTCTGTGCGTTGTGTCCTTGCGTGTGGACGTGTGCAGACTTGATTTGCCCTTTGGTCGACTTCAGCCTTCTTGAGGTCCTTGTCATACGGTACACTGGGAGAAGAGAAACTGTCGACACGCACTGAGGAGGGTGTAGCCGTTTTGTGGATCACTCCAGTCCCGGAGGGAGCGTTGAGGAACGTGAGTTACTTCATGGCTATTCCTCTGTGATCCGTCTGTTGGCTGTGGTGAGTCACAGGATGTCTAGGGGACGACAAAGGACTGCTACATCTTCTCATGACTTTGCTTAGCTGTACTCAGGCTATTGTCACGTTTTTTCTCTCATTATCCGCGTGTAGCTGATTTGCTTGATAAGCTGCAGGTTTGAGCGGTACCTCGTCCAGTATTTGGCTGTAGGCGGGTGCAGTACTTTCTTTTTGACTCTGTCGAGCCTAGCCCAGTTCGGAGAAGTTTCAGCGTCCGTGCAACTGAGTCACGCCGGGTCCGTCACCCGGCCTGCCCGTGCCTCCGCGTCATGGGACGTGCCGGGGTGGTGGACCTATGCCGTGTTGATGGGCTTGTTTTGGATCGGAGCAGGCTGCTGTCGCGTCCGCCCTTCCTCTCTGTACTTGGTCGGCTAGCGTAATCACAATCGGACCATTGGCGTAATTGTCATTGGCAGGAGTTGCACTTCTTGTCGCACGTCGCCGTCTCATTTTGCACTTGGAGGGTACAGCCTACGCGGTACCCGCGTGTAACCATGATAACTGCTTACTTGCTAGTGCCATCGTGTTTTAATACGTGCGTTAGATATTAGTATGTGAACGTTGCAGACTCTTGTTCTTTCTACAACCAACAGGGCAGTAGGCATGGCGGACAGTCTTTGTATTGACTGCATGGAAGCAAACACACTGGGAGATATGGAAAAATAGTAGAGTTAGCCGGATTTGAGCCCTTGGCTTCGCCTGGCCACCCGACTATCCGCTGGGTACGATGATAAAGCCGCGAGGTCTGCGTGTAGTGTCTCACCACCAACCTCTCGCGGGCACCTGAAGTGGACGAGTGGCGGGCTGCATTTACCTTTAGTTATAGCCGCATGGTCCAGTGCACCAGCTTCTGTAGGCATGACATGCTGCGAACACCCAGCCCATCATGGTCCATCCAGCCAGCCAGCCATCATTTGACCTTTGTACCCTTTTCCTTCATGTTCAGGTTGCATCATCATGTCACTGTGTACATGTATGACTGTATCCTTTCCCTCGCACATCAAGTCACACATCAATTTTCTTTCCGTATTTACGCAATACGGCCGTGGTTATGACAGATCCCGACTTGGCCATTGAATATAATTGACCATCATCAGAGTGATGAAGACTCCGGTGTAAACTAGGCCTGCAGTGAATACGGCTGGAGCCGATGGGCTCAAGTCGCAACAGTCGATCACTATTCGCGGACTGTGTATACCAGCTTGATGTCTGCATCCTGGCCGCGTGCATGAATGTGGGTGGGTGTTAATTACATGCATCCCGTCGTGACGCGAATAAAAGCATGTGTGCCTATATCCGGGCATAAGCGCACCCTCAAATACACTAGAATGTAGTAAGCGCATGGACTTATAAGTGAACCCGCAACACCCTGACGCCATCAAAATACAATGTTTGCCGTTTTTCTGTGCAATCTTCACATTCCATACTGGTAATACAAGCACATGTGGCCAACCTTCAACAAATTACAAATATGGCAAATCCCGCTTATAAGCGATGCATTTCTTTCTTGGTCGGTCCATAAAAGTATCGCTGGCTTCGTGTGCAGTTCAGAGAATAAAAAAGATCTACATATCCGACTACGGCTGATGTCTGTCATGTTTTTTTCCTGCAGCTTCAATCAGTAGTGTCCCGTCACCAGCACTGGCAGCAGCAGCAGCAGCATCGTCAGTATGTCAGACACACCAGTACAGGCAGTAGCAATGAGTAGCACCAGCGTAGAAGAAACTAGACGGTCTCAGGCACAACCTGCCCCAGTGAGAACGGCTGCCACCACCACAGAACCGGAAGCTCAACCTAGCACAGCTTCCAGTGCCGACGCGGAAGTTGAGGCAAGCACGTCTTCGCCAAGCACAACCCCCAGACTGCAGCCAGAAGCCCCGCCAAGCGCACCCTTGGGCCGACCGGCGCCCAAACAAACAAGCGGTCGTTCGTCGAGAGCTGCAACCTCATCGAACAACCCCACAAATCGCAGGTGAGTACATGTATTGTATTGATATCATTGCATGGTACTGTCGTGAACATGGACATCCGGTTGAATGACGAGGCCCGGCGCCTTCAGTACGTACAGAACGTTGCATGCAGTGCACATGTTGATCCGATGCGACCAGCGCGCTGCAGCGCATAAACGAATGTGTATGTACGGTATGCGTACTGACGACTGCATGGCCAGCGCCCTGGGGCCACTGCACGTGCGATCGAACGGATTTCCATGTCCACGACAGTACCTCTGCCCCGTCCACAATGTGCTCACATCCATGCATAGTCTGATATGTTGTTTGATGTCACCAGTCTTGTCCCTTGTCCTGCCACTCCTGTATACCGTAAAGTCGCAGATAAAAGCCCGGCTTATAAGCATATAAGCCGCTTTCTGCATCAGGCTTGTATGCAAACCATGCTTATATGCACCGCTGATATTTTTGCCAGGCTTGTATGCCAGGCTTCTACGCGTGACACGCGTAGATCTACCACTGACTACCGGTATGGCACCAGTTTTACTATGCACCGTGCATAGCGCATGCACTCTTGACCTACCCGATCCGCGCTTGCATAGAAGCCAGGCTTCTACGCGCGACAGGCTTATATGCATTTGACCCGTTTGATTTTCAGGCTCCTATCTGCGATGTGCTTGTATGCAAACCCGGCTTTTATCCGCGACTTTACGGTAATTATAAAAGGTGGATTTCGATTACATCATTGCATCAGGTGACTTGGCTGGATGTCTGATCCCATATATGGGTGATGGTAATTTCCTATATTTGGAAGACTGCTGGATGGCAAACTCCATACAAGTCATACTGAAGTATATGGCAGGCTTCTTGAGGGGAAACACCCTTATATTGGTAGATTTGCACACATGGCTTTCACCGCAATCCATCTATGGCTCCTTGATCCCTTTAACTTTAAGATGAGCGTTTTGAGGATCTGAGATTTGTTTTGCTTATCCTGCTTCCATGTTAAAAGCTGTCCAGAATTATTTTGTTGTTTTGCCTTCACTCAGCTGCGATGGGTCGGTTTGCGTTCCTTATTTTCTAACTGTGGTCAGCCACGAGCTAGCGTGCATGCCAAGTGTCCTACGACTTTCTTTTTGCACCCAACCCCGCACTGGGATCCTAATACTGTAATAGCCCTAGACCTCGGCTACATAGGCAAACGGGTCGGATGCTCTGGTTTCATCATAGTGCCTGTCCTCGAATCGTTTGGCAATGGAACCATGATTCTACCCGAGCTTGTGTGTAGGCACTTAAGGCCACACCATTTTTTATCTATGTTTCGCGTCCCCAGCGCATGTATTTCACAGCCGGAGTTCAAAAACAAAAAAACGGAACAAAATTTTTTTCTTTTCGAAAATGCAATACAAATTTAATGCAAACCCAGAAATTAAACCGGAAAATGTAACTCAGCTCACACACATGTACATGACATTGTACATGTGTGTGCAATAAGCTGGGCCACAAGTCACACAATCACCATGCCGCCTGTGTTTGGACCACAAGCATGGCAGAGGGGATACACTCATGTATTCATGTACATGCCAATGTACATGAACAGTGCCACTTCGCTTCACTGTACACAAATGCAATGCACGTACACTGTTTTTTTTTGGATGGCTTTTTTATTTTTTTCGCCCTCCCTCATTGATTTCATCGAATAAGGTGACGCGAAACATAGAAAAAAACGGTGTGGCCTAACGAATATATCTCTATAGTCACATGGAAAAGACTGAATCAGACCCAAAATAACAACTTAAAAATCTGGATTTGTATTCGCCCATATTTCTGTAACAAGACGGCAACGTCTGTAGGGCCTTCCCTATCAAAATAATAAATTATACTACTACTACTACTACTACTACTACTACTGAAATGTGTTTTTATTGAAAGCACAAAGCAATGAAGATGTGAATGCAAGGAGGGCAATGAATTCAAAAGGTGAACAGCAAAATTGTAACAAAATAGAAAGATAACAAATATTAATGGCAACAGCAATGTTTATACATGAAAAAGGGGAAGGAAAAGGAAAGAAAAACATCCAAACCAGAACTGCTTGAACACCGCCAGAAATGAAACCATAGAATTGAGATTCATACAAAAGAAAAAACTACTACTACTACTACTACTACTACTACTACTACTACTACTACTACTACTACTACTACTACTACTACTACTACTACTACTACTACTACTACTACTACTACTACTACTACTACTACTACTACTACTACTACTACTACTACTACTACTACCACTACTACTACTACTACTACTACTACTACTACTACTACTACTACTACTACTACTACTACTACTACTACTACTACTACTACTACTACTACTACTACCACTACTACTACTACTCAAAATCTTTATTTGAAAGAACCCAAAGTTATAAATATGGAAAAGGAACAAAAACGAAAAAGAGATTCAAAGCAAAACAATGATGAAGGCAATTCAAAATCAATAATCAGAGAAGCTAGCGAGAAAACAAGAAAAGAACACAAATGTAACTCCAAGGCACGAAACAGGGATTACACTGAAGAGGGCATTCGTAATAGAAAAACAAAAAAAAACAAAAAAAAAGAAGAAAAAAAGAACCATACCTGGAGATCTTTTGCAAACTGAGCAAGACATTTAAACACGCGACAGTACACGACATTCATGAACAAAATTTGCAGAGCGCTTAGTACGATAGGATGCTCTGCAGCCACGCAAACAAGTGATGCACCAACGAAGGAGACAAAACGATAAACGGCAGCGCAAATGACTCATCACAACAGAGTACGATAGATCGATATTCTTCTCGAGAATCAGGCTAACCAGATATTTCAAAAATATGGTGCATTCCTTCCCAGCCATGCCATTTGGCGCGAACACCAGCGGAGTGAAACTTCCTCTATCAACTGTATTGATCCTCTCGCCATACTGCCGCCTCTTCTCTCCTTCGTTACGCTCCAATTGACTCGTGACTTTTGGAACACGACAGCAGGCTGGCCCTAGGGTGCGTCACCCGGATATCGAAGAAGGCCTCCTGCTGCCGCGTCCAAAAACCACGAGCCCGTATATTAACACGAGCCTCAACGGAGCGATTCGCCGTCACCCCCTGGAGCTGCTCCTCCTGATATGGAAGGAGCTTCGGCTCGACCTCCACGTCTTGAATAACTCCACGCATTACATCTGCTAGGAGATCCCGGACCTCATTGTGTCTGGCGGATGGATACCCTCCGCAAGGGCAGGTCATCGCATGGTCCACCGTCATTGCCTTGCCACACACACAATTTGGGGATAGGCCATCCAGCTGCAAGCCGTAACGAATGGCGATAGCGTCTCTGAAATCCGAGCGATTCAATACCGTACCATTGGCAACTCCTGGCGATGACGTGAGCCAGGATGAGACTCCTTTGCTGGCACCACTGCAAATGTTTACCAGAAACCGTTGGCTTTCAGACAAACTGTCCTTGATGCTGTTGAGAGCCTGTTGTTCTTGACGAACTCTGTTCTTGCGGGTATTCTGCAGGCGCCTGCGACACTCCATGACTGCATTGCTGATGAGGCTGCGAGCTCCGTGAGATGAAGCTGTCACAGGAGGTCGTGGCGGCGGCCAATCATCACCATCCTCCTCACCTGCATCCTCTCCAACACCGTATGATTGCGTGTTGGGAGAAGCCGCCGACAATTCGGCAGGAGGCGATGCAACATCAAGGCTTTGAGACCCATCTAGGCTTTGAGACCTAGATGATGCTGCAGGCTGTTCCTGTAATTGAGGCACACACAATTCGACAATGGGACGCACCGTGTGCTCGCACTCTATGTGCGCGACCCCGCAAGAATCTGAGATCTTGGGGATACCTAACCCACCCATTCGACAAGGCAGTGAAATTAAACATCGCAGCGGGTCATCATCTTGCAAAATCATGTCGGAGACTGCGGGCAACAATTTTTCCCGAATGGCCTGATCCAGTTTCGCAAACTGTGTAGCCTCACAGCTGACCGCCCTTAGACAGTATCGCCAACGAGAAATTATGCTGCGCACGAGTACAGTATATGCCGCATGGGGCTGGGTGACAGCAAGCTCCGCAAGGCGATCGACCTCTGCAACCCACTTGTCAACCCTCTCCCGGATGAATGATTCGCGGAATTCATCCGATCCCAGCGCGCCCCCAAGATATCTGCAGCCCTCTGTCATGATGCTAATTCCCGTGCCAGAAAAGATGCGGCGGGCCTCATCCGCACGTGCCTCCTTTACAAGAAGGACGGTCTTTGATGCATTGGGGTAGTATCCATATTCTGGGCCGATTTCACTAAGTGTGGACCAATAGTCGAATACATTGCTCACAGTACCAGCAGCCGAATCATCGTCCGCATACCAGACCTGTGTTGTGTTGGGACATTGAGTGGATAGAGAATTAATGAGAGGCATGATCGCTACCGCATAGATCGCCATTGCTAAAGGGTCCCCTTGGCATGTTCCCTCGCGTGAAAGAATCTCGCCGCCACCTGTGACAAACAGGCGGGAGGGACTTTTGTACGTGTTCTTGAAGACTTGGCCTAGAGCAGGGCAAAGAATGGGGACGTTATGCAGTGCTGCTGCTCTGTTTAATGAGTTAAATGCATTGGATGCATCAACAAGCAATATGGCGTCAGTGCTGTCAAGATTGAACAGACTATCCATGGCATGCACCGAGGCCTCGCAAGCAGAGAGAACGCCAACGCAAAGCTGTCGTGGTGCAGTGGTGTACCTAACGTCGCTCTCGATAATTTTCATGATCGCGCGACCAAAATGCGCCTGAAAACCTCCCCAACGGCTGTAGGTCTCACCCCTGGGGATTTGTCCAAAGGGACTAGGCGAGCCGCGGTAAGAGCCTCGGTGCACGAAGGGTCTATATCCTCAGTGCAAAGGACGCGCGCGGAGGCAGCAAGCGCGGAGGACAAATTGTTTTACTACTACTACTACTACTACTACTACTACTACTAC